TGTTTCTGGAGAGGGGTACATGTGAGGCCTCACATGTCCAGTAGGCACAGGGGATGGTGGGGAATGCATCGTCACCGTCATAATTCATTAACATTAAAGTTTTGGTTTCTTTCTTTTTTGTATGTTAGTCATGCCCCTTGCAAATGGGCCAGTTAACTGTTGATTAAAAGAAGGTAAAAATCAGCTCACAGAAAGGCCATGGATGAACCAAGGACAGTTAGCTAGGGTTTGTAATTGCAATTGAGTTGGATCAGCTTTATTGAATTTTCTGATTCAGAAACATGGAGAATCAATGATTTCAGTGCTTTAGACAATGTGCTACATGTTAGATTTGTCAGAAAAGTAACAACCATAGTATCCAAGTGATCGTGACAGATTAAATCCAAATTTGACTCAATGGCAGGAAGCAGAAGATAAGAGACATTGCAGCCTGTGGCCAAGGAATTGTCTTTGTGACAGGAACTGACTGAATAGTTTCAATTTGCCCAATGTGTAGCTGGTGGATATTTTAGCTCATTGAGTACTGGAGGGCAGGCAAGTTAGCTGTTAATTACCGACTGGAAATTGTTGAGAGAGGTCATGGTGAAACCAAGCTGGGTGTAGTCCTTTCTGTTGATGCCATGGGGCAACCTGTAAATGAGAGACCGAGTGGGGTGTCCAATGTGCAAGAATGAGAAGGGAGGCCATTGTTAGAGATCTTCCTGATCCAATTGGATGAGTAATGGAAGCAGATCAGGGGTCCCCTGGCTAGGGGACAGAAGACGAGGTGCCAGAGGAGGATGGTGTGGTGGAGAGGATGAGGAGAGATATATTACTACAGTCACATAGATTGTGACTTCAATAAGGGCCATATTCCAGTGGCTGGAAAGGAAGCCTGATTGAAGAGGTTCAAACATGAGGTGACAACACAATGTCCAATCATTTGGGGAAAGGGGATGGGGTGGAAATGGAGCACAGCAGTAACAGAGGGATCAAGGTTGGGCTTTCTCTGCAGTGGAATGTTGGCCAGTATTTCAAAGGGAATATAATACGAAAATAGGGAAATCTTGCTTAAACTATACAAGGGACTTGTCAGACCACAGCTGGAACACTGTGAACAGTTTTGGTCCCTTTATCTAAGGAAAGATATACTTGAATTGGATGCAGTGCAGAAAAGGTGCATTAGGCTGATCCTGGGTGTGCAGGGATTTTCTTATGAGGAAAGTTCGAGTAGGTTGGGCCTGTACTCATTGCAATTTAGAAGAACAAAACTTAACTTCATCTGAAAACACACAAGATTTGCAGGGGCCTTGATAGGATAGATACAGAGACAATATTTTTTTCCCCTTGTGATAAAGTCTAGGGCCAAAAGGAATAATCCGAGAGTAAGAGGGTCACCTATTAAAGACAGGAATGAGCAGGAATTTCTGCTCTGAGGATAGAGAATCTGTGGAATTTGTTACTCCAAAGGGCTGTTGAGGCTGGGGCATTAAGTGTACCCAAAGCTGTGAAAGAATGATTTTTAGTCAGTAAGAGAATCAAGGGTTAAGTGTTGGCATTAATTGCAAGGGGAACACCTGTAATTTTCTTGAATAATATAAAATTACCAGTATATGTGACCTTTGATCTTGAAGCAGTACCAATGGGAAGTAAATAAAGATATGGAAATCGAGCAGCCAGATGCAAATGAGAGCTGTAGCTCAAGTGAGCTGGTGGCAGAAGGCAAAAGGCAATCAGCACTTGGACATAGACAGGAAGTGACAAGAACAGCTAGAGAGGTTTCAGAAATGTGTGCCATGCAGGGATGACTGAGCAGAACTCAGTCTAGGCACAACTGCTGCCTGTGGAGAATGGGTTAACCTCTGGAAGGAAAAAGACACGGATTTGTTTTGGAAGACCTGTGTAGCTAAAATGGGACTGAGAGTTGGCATGGACTGTGATGACCTTAGTGAGCTTGGTGTGCATAGTTTGTAAATCAGACCTATTCATTTACATCACATTTACATTGATTCTAATTTGTGTTAAAGTAAAATTCACTAACAAGTAACATTTTGTTGGTAATTTCTTCATTTGGGGGTCACTTGGTAATTCTGGTCACTTTGTTTTATGATACCTGTTGATTGACAGTCATTAACGCCACTCATAACACAATACCTACCTGAGTGAATTAGTTAAACATACTCCAGAAAATCCTTCAGGGAAGAAGCAAGACATGGAGAAAACTGATGTTGAGTGTGCCCTGTGGAATGTGCTGGTCTTAATCCAACAGTGTCAAAGAGCTTCATTAAATTGGTTGTGCTGTGCACCAATGGACACCTTGTGGCCTCACAAAAACAATTTAAATACTTAGGCCTAGAATTATGCTGAGTTGGATTCATGTTCAAAACACTGGATCAGACTTAATTCCAGGATTTCTTCCCCATTCCCATTCCTGGCAATTTCTGATGGTGTGGGATAAGGATGCTGGCACTCACTCGGCTCATAGTATTGCCATTCTTGCTGGCTTCATTCTGGAGGTAGTTAGTTCAGCCACTTCTGGGCATGTTGTGTGGGATCAGGCCCCTTCCACAAAGAGGTGTGGTTTATGGCACAGAGTGGAGTTAGCATGGTGATAATGGGGTGGGGCAGCAAGCAGGGAACGAGTACAATGTGAGCAAATGAAATAATGAGACCCACCTACTCCTGGAGTTCTTTGATTGAAAAACTATTCAGTTTGAAGTTCTGAACAAAAACATCTTTCAAGTCCAATACTTAGATTCTGTATTATCAGTTACATAGGCAGTGATTGATCATAGGGATCTGCTCAATGATGGTAAGCAGGGAATCAAATTGATCATCATTGTGTAAGTAATGAGATGTGTTAGAGTACTTGTTCCATTTGAAAAAGTACTATTATGGATTTAAAATGGAAGAAAACCATGCTTGGAAACTGTTGTGCCATGAACTGACATGATTTAAATGTCAAAAGGGCTTTAAATTTTTTAAAAGGCTGCAGCTTCCTCAGATTCCTTGAAATGTTATCGGCTGTAACCTACAAAAATATAGGATAACAAGGTGTAGAGCTGGATGAACACAGCAGACCAAGCAGCATCAGAGGAGCAGGGAAGCTGATGTTTTGGGCCTAGAACCTTCTTCAGAAAATGAAAAATCTAGGCTTTGTTTTCAGTTTCAATAAGCTCCATTAATTGGAGTTTATTTTGATAGCTGAGTCTATTATGAATGCTTCATTGAATTTCAAAGGGTGTGAACTGCTCATCTTAACGGGATGTTCTGGTCACAGTTTAACAATTTAAAGATGTTATTAAAAGGAGTTTTTGTGTCTGACACATTTACTGATGCTTGTTTGGTTTACAGCTGAATGAACACTTGAAGGGATTTCTTTTTTTAATTGCGTCTATTTTGTCCCAGTGTGAAGTGTGGTTGATTGACAACTCTATCAGATTGATAGAAATTGAGCTTTGAATGACCATTTCATAGGCTTGACCATTGCTGTTACAGAGTTCCTGAGCTTTACTTATAATGGATACTGGGTAATTGGTTAAGAAGAGAGCATGGGTGCTCTGGGCTAGTGCAATATCAAAATATTCAGAGATAAGCACTGCAGCCTGCTCTCCTGACCACACCACCATCGCATTACTGCCTCGGGCCTACTTCTGGAGGCATTGGGCCTAACTCCATCCTGGAATAATGCTGAGGCAGACTGGTGTCTTTTTCAAGGGAGACTTGACCTTCCAACCTCCTCAATGAGAATCCAGCCCACCACTTTCCAGGGCTTCTTCTGATCTCATACCATTTTTATGGAGCAGTGTTGAAGGTAGAGCCTCCACAAGCGAGGTAATTAAAATGGCAATACTACTGCTGCCCGATTCAGGCAGGCTCCTTCACCATCTAGTCAAACATTCTGTGAGGAAAGACTATCAGTCTTTTACTACACTACTGGTGCTATATACACTTAAATTGTCACTGTTGTAAACCCACCTGACCCTTTGAACTGCTGCTACTTCCATGGAGTTGGAATGAAGGCTGTCTCATATTACATCATGTAATACCTATCTGGTTTGTGGTTCTGTTACAAATATGAAGCTTGAGCCAGTCAAATGGTTTGTATCTGAGATAATAAGCATGAGGTTTTGAGCAGTGATTTAAAAAAGTGCAAATCTGTTAACTTGTAGCAATTACACTGTTTGGCCAATTCATTGGTGGATATCCACCTTTGGAAGTTCACAACTGAATACATGTTGGAATAAATAAAACTTTATTCATAGATAAACAATCCATTATTTCTTTACAAGTGCAAGTTTACATTAAAACACTTGACTTAAACTAAATATGCCTTCTACCTGGCACTTCATGTAATAGTGCAGCCTTTATAAACTGAATCAAGAAAAGCATTGTAAACTGCTAAACAATCTGAAGCATTTTTTTAGAGAATCTAAGAGGCTACTTCATATTATTTAACTGTCAAATGTACCTGCAAAATGAAACTAGACTTAATTGTTGAGGAGCAATTCCTATATGTTCATTTGGTGGGATATGGTTGTGTATATGTGACATTTTAACTAGTAACTTGTTGGCGTGCATGAAATGCCAAAATAGACTTTGTATAGGTGAGTATTTATCAAAAACTCCCTCCTAAGTGGGTCGAGAATAAATTTATAGTTTACGAGAGAAAAGGTGAAGTTCCAGCATTATACCCAGTAGCCATGGGGGTTCAATAATCAGACAGAATTAGTAGCTTTGCAGTCAGTGGGGAAGTGCTGGCATTAGAGAGAAATGGTGGTGTATTGGTAATATCACTGACCTGGTAATCCAGAAGCACAGGCCAATACCGTGAGGATATGGGTTCAAATCCTACCATAGTAGCTCGTGGAAATTAAACTCAATGAATCAATCTTGAATTGAAAGTAATAATCATGAAATGGTTATTGATTTTAAAACAAAACATCTATTCTTCAGGGAAGAAAATCTGCCATTTTTACTCAGTCTTGCCAACATGTGACTCCAGACCCAGTGAAGTGGTTGATGCTTAACTGCCCTCTGCAATGGCCTAGCAAGATGCTCTGTTCAAGGGCAATTAGGGATGAGCAGCAAATACTGACCTTGCCAGCAATGCCCATATCCCTTGTACAAAACATTTAACATAACATAATATTACTCCAGACTCACAGCTATATGGTTCACTTTATCTCGGTTCAAATCTTTAAATTTGTAGCAATTCTCTGCAGACTGGTGGATTTCACCTTTTTTCCTGAAGTTAATTTCATTCTGCCATCAACTAAAGATAATCTCATGTATACAGCAACAGTGCGCCATCAAGCAAGTTAAGCAGCCAATAACATTGAAGTATTCCCACAGACAGAAAACCAGGCAGTAATAAGTAGGTATTATCAATAATTTTGTATAATTTTATGGAAAGCAATATAAGGTTGTGACATAGACATCAGATTAAGGCAAAAGCAGAAATGTTATTAAATTTAAAAATATATTTTTTAATATCTAGAGAAAAAAGAAATTTGACATTACATAGTTATAAAATTTATTTTCGCGGCCAGAAAGCCTGTTTACCAGCAGTAATTATGAATTTAGTGCAGCCTTGAAAACTCATTTACACATCACTTAACAAGGTATAGCTCTTTCAGAGTCTTTGTAGAAAGACTGATTATGTAGACAGTGGAAGTTCACACCAATTCAGTGATTTCTAATTGGGTTCCATCTGTGAAGATTGTTAACAGTGCATGCTGAGGAAATACAGGGGATTACTGGTAGCAACTTCTGAATTTAACTGTGCTTTGAGGACTTCAGAGCTTGTTGCAATTTCTCTAGGAAATGGCAGATAATTCTGTTTTGCCACCATTACAACTGCAAAATCCTGGCCAATGTGAATAGTGACGTATATTCAGGGAGCCCCACAATTAGAAGTTGCGTTGTGATTAGCTACTTTATGCTTAAAAGTATAAATTACTGGCTAACTAGTTCTGAGGAAAGAAAATCAACCTTTTTAATAAACAATCAAAAGCAGATTCACTTGCATTGTTATAAATAAACACAGAAATCCTGGAGTAACTTTGTCCACTGCAGTCAATGGTTAATTGGTACAAATAACGTGTTGCACTGTACCAGTTTGGATTATAATAAAGAAACACAGGCGATTCAATCTGCTATGGATTTGCGGAGCATGTCTGAGCTGTTTGCAAGCCACATTTGAGTGAAAAGCATCCTGTTGCAGATGAAAATCAAACAATTCATATTGTGCCAATTGATACTTTGACCACTTTATCGCAACGCTTTTGAAAACCTCCACAAACACAGAAATAACAGACATTCAAAAAATGTGATATTTGTTGGTGACTGTCATCGAATTTAGCATGATTATTAAACAGCTGTCATCCTATTTAACTGGGGCATCACTGGCATTTGTATTCATAAACTTGAACAGTCCAATTACACTGACAAGGAATTACATATTGCTTGTATACAGACGTTGCGCTCTATTTAAAATCAGCACTTTTAACTGTGTCACTTGCAACATTCACAAAAACACCAAGGTCATAGAAAACCAACTTCATGTAAACCTTGAATCACTTGGCCTCTCTTATCTTCACAGTTCTAAGTCCTGCAAAAGCAAACACACTGAAATAACTTCACAGTTCATCGCTCTCCATCACATCCTGTTTGGTTGGGAACTGCAAGTTGTCCACAGACGGGAAGGCAGATTTAAAGTCAAGTCCTTGGCCAGCAAGAGCTGCATATCGATTGCCTGAAGGACGCACTTTCCTTATTGGCTGTGTGATGTGCCGGTGCCACTGGGCTATAATAACAAAAGGAATCAGTCAGACAATCTCTGTTGCAATGGAGAACTTTACAATGAGATGGCATTCTAAATGGAGTCAGTTTATAACATGACCACAGATAAAACCAGCGCTTTTGCATGCAAGCACATTATTTCATGTAAAAATAAACAGATTTTATTTTTGCAATATTACTGTATAAATCAATGTATTATATAGTAGCAATTAAAACAGGAATTCAGTTATATTATTCTCCAGGTAGCTCCTAATGAATGATGACCTGAAACCTCATTAACACAGAAACATAGAAAATGGGGACATGAGAATGCTCTTTGTCCCTTTGAGCTCACTCACCATTCAATAATGGTCAGACCTGATCATCCAACTCAGTCCCTGTTCCTGCTTTCTCCCCAGACCCATTGAATCCTTTAGTCCTAAGAAATATATCCAACTCCTTCACTGAAATATTCAATGTATTGGCCTCAACTATTTTCGGAGGTAAACAATTCTAGGGAGTCATCACTCAGTGAAGAAATTTTTCTTCATCTCAGTTCTAAAGGTCTGCCTTGTATCTCTGGACTGTGATCCCCTGGTTCTGGACTCCCTAGTCATCAGGAACATCCTTCCTGTGTTTACTCTAGCTAGTCCTGCTAATTTTTAGATTTCTATGAGATAATTTTTCTAAACTTCAGTGAATATAATCCTAACCAATCCCATGTCTTTTCATATGTCAGTCCTGCCATCCCAGGAATCAGTCTGGTGAACCTTCATTACACTACCACCATAGCCAGAACATGGTTCCTCAGATAAAGAGACCAAATACTTAATTAGTTAAAAAATGCGACATCAGTCACATCCCAGCTCCAGAAATATGATTTTATGTAATTGTACTTACTTAATAAAATCAATATTTCTTTTATTCACTCATGGAACTTGGAAATCATTGGCTGGGACAGCATTTATTGCCCATCCCAAGTTGCCCTGGAGAAGGTGCCTTCTTGAACCACTGTAGTCCATGTGCTGTAGGTTGATGTACAGTGCCCTTGGGGACGGAATTCCAGGATTGTGACCCAGTGGCCCAAGTCAGGGTGGTAAGTGGCTTGGAGGGGAACTTGCAGGTGGTGGTATTCCCATGTATCTGAGACCCTTGTCCTTCCAGATGGAAATGGTTGTGGGTTTGCAAGGTGCTGTCTAAGGAACTTTGGTGAATTTTTGCAGTACATCTTGAAGATAGTACACACTGCTGCCACTGAGTGTCAGTGGTAGAGGGAGTGGTTGCTTGTGGATGTGGTGCCAATCAAGCGGGCTGCTTTGTCCTGGATGGTGTCAAGCTTCTTGAGTGTCGTTGGGGCTGCACCCATCCAGGGAAGTGGGGAGTATTCCATCACACTCCTGACTTGTGCCTTGTAGATGTTGGACAGGCTTTGGGGAGTGAGGAGGTGAGTTACACACTACAATATTTCAAGCCTCTGACCTGATCTTGTAGCCACTGTGTTTATGTGGTGAGTCTAGTTGAGTTTCTGGTCAATGGGAGCTCCAGGATATTGTTAATGGAGGGACTTTCAGTGGTGGTAACACCATTGAATGTCAAGGGGCAGTGGTTACATTGTCTCTTATTTGAGATTGTGATTGCCTGGCATTTGTGTGGCATGAATGTTACTTCCAGTTGTCAGCCCAAGCCTCAGTATTGTCCAGATCTTGTTTTATTTGAACATGAACTGCTTCAGTATCTGAGGAGTCGCGAATGGTGCTGAATTTTGTGCAATCATCAGTGAACATCCCCACTTCTGACCTTCTGATGGAGATGGTTGGGTCTAGAATACTACCCTGACAAACCAATTATATCTGCCTGCTGGCCATGAATATTGTGAACTCAGGAGCATCATGCCTTAATTTCCTCAGAAAGGAGGCTGATAGGAGAGACACCCTTCTGGCATTGGGATTCCATATAGATACAGGTTCAGTAATTCAGAGGTTGATACCATGAAGGAGTCTCCTTCTTAGTCTCTTCCCTCACCTGAGGTATGGTGGCCCTCAGGTTAAATTGCCACCAGTCATCTCTCTCTAACGGGAGAGCAGCCCTACAGTCTGGTATGACTATGGTGACTTGACTCGTCTTGAATTCAGAGGTTAATCTATTGGCGGTATGGGCTGGGGTATGGAAGGAATGCAGTTTTCAAGGGTTTGTGAAAAACTCAGCAGAGATCCTTTTTGGCTAACTTGAATTTTCTTGCAGCATTTATTTATAAACATACATTTGATGCAATGTTTTATATACTATCAAACCTCCAGCATCATTAATCACAATCATTTAGATATGCTGCTTTATAATGATACTGACATTACGCCATCTATTTCACAATGCATTACTCTGAAGTGGAAACTTTCTTTCATACGCCATCTCTCTCTGCCAGGACCCAAAACCTAGTTGCCGTAGACAAGGATTTCCTGAGGCCAGTCCTAAGGTGAGTGCCTGGTGCTCCTTGTTGTGGGTCAGGAGAAATCAGTACCTATATCTCTTAAAGATGTTTCCACAGTTTTCATGGTAAATGTCTGAGGTATGGTAATTTCAAGATTTACTTATATAGATATGCATAGCGGATTCATCATTAGAAAAGCAGATTAAAATAAATTGAAATGAGCTGAACAGGTAAGTGCTAAGTTCTGCAATGTAGTGCAAGTAGCTGGAGAAATAACTGTAGAATACGTAGCTTTGTAGGTCGACCTGGAAAATGAGTCAGAAGCCCACTTTCTATTTTTCCCCATTTATATGTCCATTATAAATACCAAATGGTCAGCCAACTCACAGTCAGCAACGAAACCATGGTGATTGTTGCTAACTTTGAAAGAGGACACAGTGTTTATGGACTACTGCCCCTAGGTCACAACCTCATTGGGTCAATTATCTGGGGTCAATCTCTGAGTCAGTAATGGCAACTGTTGAGCAGAGATTCTGGTCCAAAGGTGATTGTTTTCCAAAATCATTTGTCAATGGCACAGCATTTCACTGCCCCGATTGGTTGATCTTTCAGTGCTGTGATTGGCTGTTCAGTTTAAGTCTGCTGATTGGCTAACTGGGGACTTCCTTGGAACTTGTAAACAGTTGAATGTTTTTCCTGTCCCAAATCCTTGTGTATATTAAAAATGGTGACTGCCTGAGTCTGGTAGATCCTTCACAAGTTTGCATCTAGATAGAGATCAGCTTGGTAGTTGGTAGGGTTAAGCTCCACCATTTTAGGGTCACTATTGGCCCAATTCCACCAAGCGATTTCAATGAAAATAAACCCAAACAATTGTTAGGCAGCAAACATTCAAACACAGACTAACCATATAGATCCAATCTGGCTGTACAAGATGCTATTCCTGCTTCATTTTTGGCTGACACAGTATACCATCCAGCATCTTCCTTCTTGGTTGGCTGAATCAGGAGACAGACATAGCCTGTGGTATCCTGCTGTATGCTGGTAAGACAAGTGCCATTAATTCAGTTAAGGGAATGTAAAAATAAACTGGAAGACTTATTGGTAATTCATACTGTTATCCTGGGGCAATGTATTTCAGGTAAGATAACACAGATCATCACATAAATAGATCAATTTATTTTTCACTTTCACTGTACCGTTAAACTTTTTGAATTTTAGAAAAAAAAACAATGAAAGAGAGAGATAGTTAAATTTACACTTAACATCACTTTTCAACTCATATTGCCAACGCTGAATTGTCTGTCTCAAATGTACTCCAGTTAGGAAGAGACTTTTCAGGTAATAGTTTAGTCCAGGGTAATACAAGGCTATCCTTTCTGTAATGACTGTACACTGTGAAGCTCTGAGTATTTTTTACAGGGCCTCTATGCTTATATCTGTAAATGGTAAGTTTAATCTTGGAGTTCCATCGGATCCAAGGTGCTCAGGGGTTTCTTGGATCTTCCTGGTCACTATTCAAATCTACTAAATTTAGATGTTTAAAAACAGAGGTTCACCTCAACAACATCTCCAAAACACTGCAATTTTTACATGGTGAGAGCGCTTTTGAGCACTATCAGCAAGGACTTGCTTGTTCGATCTCTGAACTGTAGTCAACAATTTCAGGTGAGCGTATGTCACTGTAAATATGCCTTAACATGTGACTTTAGGCATCTTGGCCACTGACAGTGTATCAGAAATTCAGATGGGACCAAAATGGCAATGTAATTAAATGCTACATGTCCAAATTTCCAAGATGCACTCCTGTCAAATACGGTTCCTCATGGGAGTATCATAGAATCCATACAGTGTAGATCAAGGCCATTCAGCCCATTGCATCTGCACAAGCCCTCCAAAGAGCATTCCATCCAGAGCCACCTATCCCTACAACCCCGCATTTACAATGGCTAATCCACGTAGCCTACACATCCTGGACACTGTGGTCAATTTAGCATGGCCAATCTGCCTGCAATCTTTGGACTGTGGGAGGAAACCGGAGCACCTGGAGGAAACCCATACAGACACGAGGAGAATGTGCAAACTCCACACAGACAGTTGCCGAGGGTGGAACTGAACCCAGGTCTCTGGTGCTGTGAGGCAGCAGTGCTAACAAATTTGCCACCTTGCCACCCCTATAGAGTAATTTTGTCTACCAAACCACCATCACATTAACAGCAGCTATTTCATACTATACATCGTAGCCTGGACACACCTTATCCTGTCCTTGTAGGGAGAGATGGTCTCATTGTCCTTCTTCCAGAAGATCATCGGAGGTGGCATGCCCACTACTCTGCACTCTATTCTGACTGGGTGGCCCTCTGGCACTCCTGTGTTCCGCAGTTTCTCGATAAATACAGGTGCCTTTGTAATTTCCTTTGCTGTAAAACCAAACCAAGCAAATGGAAACAGAAGACAAAGCAAATAGTTTAGAACATTAGATGTGACTTGTCTATCAGCTTTACATGATGTTCCCTGGCCCTGTTTTTGCTGCACAGATACTGACTGCTACCTCCTGTTCTTTCTCACATGGAGGCAAGTTGGGAGTTGTTTAAATGTTTTAAACTAATGGCAATAGGCTGCAGCTAGAGAACTGGAGGAATGCTTGGGGATACAGGTACTACCACTTTTCTTCTGAAATGGAAAACCTACAATTTGTTAAAATCAAAGAAACAATCGACAAACTTTTCAAGGGACACTGCAATACCAAAAAAAAACTGGCAATAAGGAGTGCATAGATACACAATGGGAGAATGTAATCTTATTTTCAGAACAGGATAAAATTAGGAGTTGACCAGTACTGTTTTCTCCAGCTGGGAAGAAGTGGATTTATGGAACTGCAATGCAGCATTTTAACCCATTTAGAAATATTCTAATCTCAAAAATTTTGTGGCATCTGTTCTCATGTGTGAGAGATGTATCTAATACAAAATAATGTAGCATACGATTAGATTTGGAGTTTACACTTTTTTTTGCAATATGTTAATAAAATTCATACTCATTAAAATTTCACATTGCACAACAGATAAAAGCTGTAAATTCTCCTGTCTTACACAATGCCTTGTGAAAGCCTTCATTGGATTGACAGAACAGAGCAGTGTGACCCAAACCAACATTCACATTCAATGGAAAACATCACTTGCACTTAAATTAGTATTTAGCAGGGAATGTTTGCTGGCAGGAATCCAGTGTCAATGAGAAAGTCAGAGTCGTACTGTAATTCAGCTATTGAAAGTATGAGTAAGTGAAAACACACACCCACAACACATTCCTGTTGTAATAGTCTGTGAGAAGAATTGAAGAGAGCAGTCTGCTTCTGAGATAGTAGGAACTGCCAATGCTGGAGAATGTAAGATAACAAAGTGTAGAGCTGGATGAACACAGCAGGCCAAGCAGCATCAGAGGAGCAGGAAAGCTGACGTTTCGGGTCCAGGCCCTTCTTCAGAAATGGGGGAGGGGAAGGGGAAGGGGAAGGGGAAGGGGATTCTGAAATAAATAGGGAGAAAGAGGGAGGTGGATAGAAGATGGATAAAGGAGAAGATAGGTGGAGAGGAGACAGACAGGTCAAGGAGGTAGTCAGTCTGCTTCTGAAGCATGTTTGTTTTAGTTGTTTTACTGACTTTGAAAGATGGTTTTGGGGCTATTAGTACATTTTCCTGCCTTGTTTATACATGGGTTCATGTAACTGCCAAGTCCCAGAGATTCTCCTCATACTTGTGTCCCTTTTAAGAAACTTACACTCAAAAGAAGAAAAAATAGTAAACCACTATTTCAGGTCTCTCAATGGCAATAGTGAGGGGTGAGGATTTGCAAGGCTTTCTGGCTGCTGTACAAAAGGAATCAAAAAACCTCATATCCTTATGAGCTTCCTTGATGAATCTGAAAGAATTAACACACCTTCCTAGAAGGCACAAGATTGTTAACAGCCTTGTTTAATGTCCTTTAACCTGAAGGGACCATCCAACAATTTGCAATGGATTCTGTTGTATTTAATGCAAAACACTGAAAACAAAATCAATTGAACATTGTTATGATCCCAGCAAATACTATATTCCACACAGGAACCCGGCTTAATAGATCACAATTTTATTCTTTTGGGTTAAACAAAGTTGCCTCTCATTGACCTATAAACACTCACTGCTGCAGGTTTTGCTTAACAAACAAAGCAAAGGCTAATACAAAAGGAATGAAGATAAAATTGTTTAGATTATTCTATCATCTTATAATATAGATTCAATACACAGTACAAGTATAATCCCATTCATTCCCAAAACTCTCCTTTATAAAATTAAAAACAGAACAGCTTCTGTATATTGTCCCAAACACCGCTGGTACAGTTCTTAAAACACCTTTTGTGTGATGCTTACACAGTATTCCTATAGCTAACACCTCGGTGGATTTAAAGTCATTTGGGACTTAAATGATTAAAACTGGAACTGCAAATAGCTTCCTTCTGGAGCAATCATACAGTTGAGCTACAAAGCATTCAGCTTAAATAACCACTTTTGGGTTTATATCTGGTGTGGAACCATTGTGAACTGTTCATTCTAAGGACCTGTTTCAATATATCCTTCTCAGGAGCACTGCTCTACACAGCCGTTCTCTTCCAAGACCTTCATAGGCCAATATATTACCTAAAGTCAAAAGTGAAACTAAAAGTCTTTCAGTTATGGGTGTTTCCCTTCAGTTTAAAAAAAACCTAGATTATGAAACTCTTGGCCCCATTATTTACCATGCTGTGTCACAAACAATCTAATATAAACAAAATGCATTAGTGCACAAATCCATTCACTCTACTGCCAGACTTCAAAAATGTTTTTAAAAGAAACCACCATGGTTAAAGTAATACTTAAAATCAACTATTAATTTCAGACACACAGAAAAAGCCCTCTTGTTACTAACTCAAAAACTGGACCCAGACTCACCCCAAATATCATTAAAAACAGTACATATAAATCCACAGTTTACTTCACAACATTTAAGTCTATCCCATGCATAGGTGGTAAAACTGAGCATCGTGATCCCAAACCTTGCACCCACCAGCAAGCACACAAGCAGAGGCAACAAATCAGGTTTTAAAACAAAAGCTATACAACTTGAAACAAAAAACTGGGATTCCTGTTTAATGTCCAAAGGCAATTGGAATGAGTTCATGGGATTACTGACCATGTGGCATGTGACTCAATGCCCTTGCTACCATTTTTGTGCAATGGTATCAGATTTAGCCAGGAACTTGTCCAACTTCCTTTAGAAAACTTGCTGCAAATCCACACTGATCAGATGAACTGAAACTTAGTCCAAAGATTCAAGACTTTCTGCAACAAAAGAACTCCTCACATCTAATCTAGTCACCTGTAATGTATACAGACAGCTCCTAATTCTCTCTAACCTATTTAATTCAACAGTTTGACAGAACGCTGGGGGAAATTACACAAGTCTACACAAAATGACTGATTAAAGATTTAGCAGCCATCTTTGGTTTGTTCACCACATTTGCATCACTTCTATGATCCTTTGATCTTTTGCTTATAAATTCTGTTGTTGATGCCACCTGTCTCACTGACACCTGAAGAAGCAACATTTGGCACACAAGTTCCGAAAGCTTGTGTCTTCAAATAAACCTATTGGACTATAACCTGGTGTCTTGTGATTTTTGACCTTGTCCACCACAGTCCAACACTGGCACCTCCATATTAAAATTACCAGAACTCTGTATCACTTCCCTTTATTTTCTCCAAGAAAAGAGACATACCCAAGGCATAAAGCATAGGAACATCAGCTGCATTAAGACTGGGTATCTGTGTGGGTGCTGTAGGATTTATCTGAATTTACCTTATTCCTGGTACAAAATGTTATGATGGTATTCTGGTAGCGAATTCATGCAGTAGAGCTATTTAATCTCAAGTGCCAGATTAATTACTATTTAAATTCTATTTTCAGCATGCATGGGACAATAAAGATGTTGATATGTAAACAGGATTACAGCAATAATGATGAATTGTTCTCCTACTCTCCAAACACTTACCCTAGTAATGATTTCCAGGCTGCTCTCCTCGATTGGGGAATGGGTTTTTAATCTTTGGTTTCTCAAGCAATGAATGATCATTCAGCAGAGATAGTAAGTTCTGCTGATGCTGGAGTCAGAGATAACACAGTGGGGAGCTGGAGGAACACAGCAGGCCAGGGAGCATCAGAGGAGCAGGAAAGTTGATGTTTAGGGTCCGGACCCTTCTTCAGAAAAACTTTCTAAAACTTTCTAACTTTACTAAAGTTCCAGGACCTTTCCATGATGAAGAAATTTCCAGTGGGTCTCGCGAAAGAACAGAGGAATTGTGTCTTGTCAATTTTCATTTTGGATTTCTTTGTGCTTGTTCCTGTTCTGCCCTTTCTTCATTATCATTTTCTAAATCTGATCAAAACCTTCTATCTCCATGACAATTAGTACCAACATATTTACCTCTCCTTGTATGAGAGGAGGAAGGAAGGAGGGACTGGGGATTTGGGTGTGTACTATTTGGCCAATTGTTCTGGTGGTGTCCACAGCAGCCAATGAGACACATAGATGGTCCCAAATAGACAGGCTGCACACCTGGTCATGTATCATGGCGTCCTCAGAAGCTGGACTAACTCCATCAAATTGCATGGGGTCTGAAATCACATCCCTGCATTGCAGCTGGCAGCATCAGGACTGCTGTGGGTAGACTCACTGTTAGCTCCTTATCCCACATGTAAACGTTGCTGCCAACATGATGGTGCAGGAATTCCAGGATCAGTTCTTGCCCACCTTGATTTCTACCAGCCTGCTTCTGTTCCAACATGGATGGAGGCATGGAAATCTAGGTCAACATTTCAGGTTAATATGCTTTTGTCAGAATTCGGTTAAGATTAATTATGATTCCCTCTCCCATTGATGCTGCCAGACTTGCTGAGCATTTTCAACATGTTCTGTTTTTATTTGAGTATTCACTGTGTTTGGCTTTTGAGTTATTTCCTCTGGTTGGGCAGTTCAGAACAATTCTTGTATAAATAGAGCTACACGGTTCAGGAATGAAATCAGGAAACCCTTTATCATGCAAAAAGTATTGGAAATCTAGAATTACCTCCTCTGTGAATGCAGGACCAAACTAACATTTCCAGTCTGAGATCCCCATCCACATTTTGGAAAATCAGATCACAACGCTGGGCTTCTCCTCCCAGCTTACAAGCAGAAATTGAAGCATGTGGGCCCAGTACAGAAAATAGTGTAGTGTTGGTCTGAGGCAACAGAAAGGCTCCTACAGGCCCACTTAGAATCAGTGAAATGGTCCATTTTCAAGAACTCAGCTGCCAACTTAAATGGGTATGCCACTACTGTTACAGACTTCACTAGTAAGTGTACAGA